GGCCCGAAACTTCAGCCTCTCTGCTCCTATGATGCTGCTTGGCCTGCTGTGTTCATCCAGCCCTGCACCTTGTTGTCTCGGATTCTCCAGCATCTGCAGTTCCTACTATCTCTGATTCAACATCCTGGTGAACCTTCTCTGCACTCTCTCCAAAGCTTCCACATCCTTCTCGTAGCAGGGCGACCAAAACTGCACACAATACTCCAAATGCTGCCTAACAAGGGTTTTATACAGCTGCACCATGGTTTGCCAACTCTTGTACTCCATGCCCCAGCCGATGAAGGCAAGCATGCCAAATGCCTTCTTATTCACCTTGGCCACCTGTGTTGCTACTCTTAGGGAACTGTGGACCTGCATGCCCAGACCCATCTGTATGTTAATGTTCCTAAAGGTTCTGCCATTTACAGTACAATTCACACCTAAATTTGATCCTCCAAAATGCATCACTTCGCATTTGTCTGAATTAAACTCCATGCCATTTCTGTGCCCAAGTTGCCTATCTATATCCTGTTGTATCCTTTCACAATCGTCAGCTCTATCAGCAACTCCACCAATCTTTGTGTCACCTGCAAACTTACTAATCGGACCATCCACCTTTTCTTCCAGATCATTTACAAACAACAGAGGACCTAAGACTGATCCCTGTTTCAACTAAAAAATGGTGACAACCATTCGCTAGTTCAACCAATCAGCCATCTCCTCTCATACAGCTGAAAATTTTGCACTTCCCCTTGAACTGATATTCTTCTGAAGTGTCTTGATGAGGACTCGAGAAACTTTAACAGAATGGGTCTTTTGCAGCAATACTCAAGGTCTGTATGGCCAATCAATTATTTTCTATACCTCTTTAAGGAGATTTCCAAGCTACTTAAGTGGACAATTGGGCTACTTAAGAGTCAACCATAACACCCTGCGATAGCATTGCATATATGAGACAGGATAAAAGGTTAGGATCTGTCATGCTGAAGGACATTATTTATCTGGTTAGGTTTTTATTGACATTTTGGCAGCTTCTGGTCATTTTTACAGAGCCAGTCTTTAACTAGTTTTTGTTTAAATTAGACTTTTTTTTTAAAATCCCGAATTCAAATTCACAAACTATAATGATATGTACAGACTTATGCTCTGGATTACTAATCCAGTAACATCATAACCATGCTCAGGTACCCATGAAGTCCACACGTAATCAAAATAATTTCCAGCTCCATGATCCTCAAAATTGTCCTTTTCCAGGACAAAACTGAGCATTGGAATTTATTCTTGCATCACAATTTAAAGATATATTCATTCAAAAGGTTACTAAACAATTGCGAACTCTTAAAATTTGCTTCAATATGTCTACAGGCAAGCAGGTGTCCCATCATATTGCACACTGGTAATCTGGGTCTGGAGTGTGATTATGATGTTTTTCAATAAATTGTCTTATCCCATGACACTTAAAAAATCCCAAAGAGCCAAATACAAATAATTAAAGCTGCTTCTGCATGTAAATTTTGAACAATAATTAAAAAGAATGATGTAACAAGTACCTCTAAAAAATTTATTTTGTACCTGTTAAATATGGCACTACATTATGGTTGAAGTATAACAGATATATTAGGAACAGAGGAACACAAGTTGGTCATTCAGTCCCATAAACATGTTCTTCCATTCTATTAGATCATGGTTGATGCCAAGACTACAAGTCATGTATTTATCTA